GTGATAAACATATCACAAACGAGTCTTAAGGTTGTTGCCTTCGTGCTTGCCTATAAAAAGCAATGCTCTTCTGTAATAACAGATGCTGTCTCCAGGTGTAGAAAGGGAAGTTAGAACATTTTATTGTCTTTTCCTTAGATAGGGAGACCAAGTTCCTGCTTCAGCAGATGTTTATCCATGTCCTCAACTTGTGCAGTTTTATGAACATCTTCATCGTAATCTGAGTAATCAAATGATGAGATTAGATTTGTTAAGAAACAAATATTTAGTTCTTCCATTTGTAGAGACAAGTATGAACACAGGAAGTCTTGGGGCTGAAAGAATGGAAAGCTGATAAGAAACCAGAATGTGGGGGAGGAGGGTGCCTGATTAGTTTGGGAGCTATTTTTTTGTTGTTTTTCATGATTTCTAAAATTGAGGGGCACTGGAGATTCTGGCAGTCTTATGTGTACTTTTGCAGACTTACAGATTTTTCAAGGTGAAATGGGAGGCAGAATCTTATGCTAGAATTTCATGGAAATGTCTTGTTTTGTTTTATTAAATGTGTAGAATTTCTGGTTTTGTTGTGATTCTCGTAACCTGGGAGAGGGAAACTTATAATGCTGTTTTATGGGGAAAAGGGGGCTACTGAAATAAATGGGAGTTTCTTCCTATTGTAGCTTTGAGATTAACAACATTATATTAAGTTGCCTGGAAATTCCTTTTTTTGTTTTGCTTTTCTTTTCCATGTAGAAGAAATGCTCAGTGACAAGAATCCCCATAGATCTGCTGGCCATACAGGGACTCTGCCAGACCATACAAGCCAAGTGTAGGCTTTGTCAAAATTAGAAACTTCTTGTTGCGAAAGGTCCAGGAAAAGTTCCACACTGAGATAAGACATTCAGGCAGACTAATTTGATCTGAATGAATAAAATGAAGGAGAATGGTGTTGGTATAGAAAATGTCTTATTACTAAAAATGGATTTTGACCTTTGTGGAGATATTAATGTCATCTCCTAATAAAAGAAAATCTTGGATGATTGCTGCAGGTCAGACAGACGATGCTTGAAAGATTCCCTAGCAATCTTGATTTGTTTTGACATGTTTTTGGTGTAATATAGAGTTTTGTTTTTCTATTTCTTCCAGGAATTTGCTTGAAGTCGGTGGTGTTTTGAATCCTCACTGCCTTGGCAGTTGGGTAGCGTGTGCACGCTTTGCCCACAGGTCCCAGCGTTGGTTTTTACTCACAAGCAATAATGAAAGTGCCTTTCTGATTCTGCAGTTAGCTGGGTTTGCCTGCTTTTCTCTTACATATGATTTACATTTTATTCTGATTTTTATTATTCTTTGGCAAAGAACATTGTCAAAAAATAATGCTTTTTATTTACTCTACTACGATGCCTTTGGCTTCTGCCATCAGAATAGCTTGCTGAAGAATCTAACAAGAAAATAGTTCCCATTTCTTTGACAACAGAGTCTTTAAAAAAAATCTTGTTCTCATAAGCTAATTCATTGTCAGAATAGTCCCATGCAGCAGGAAACTCTCCAAGGTTCTGGACTTAGACTAGAAAATTTCCTAAAGTCTCACTTCTATTTTATCTTCTTTTCCTTCTCCTTTTCCTTTCATTTGTGCTGTCTGAAGGTCCCAAACACGGAAAAGGTACAGTGCTTTGCTGGACGGCTTTTCTGGGCCTCAGCCTGACTGCAGTGTATAGCTACTAGAGATGGGGAAAGGGGAACAGGAAAAACGTCATCTTACTTCACATTCTTTTGCAGGACAGAGTAGATTGGTAGGCACACCGGAGCATTGCTCTTCCCTCCGTGCTCGAGGCAGAAATGTGAAGTCCAACAGCCAAGCACTGGTGCTATTACTCAATTTGAAGCGTGCCACAAAATTAGGGAAAATCATAGTATCTTTGAGTTATACTCATGAACATGAATTAAGTCTCCACAAATCTGCTGCCAGGTGAAACAGTCTCTGTGTTATGGGGTCAAGTGAAACGTTTGGGTTACACTATGTTATCCCTCTTCAGAGAACAGGGCTGCATGAATTTAGTGGGGCAGAATTTCCTGGGTTGGCATTGTGCCTTCAGGGGTAGGCAGCCAAATTGCTTTTAATTAGCCCTTGTAACAGTCTTTTAAATGTATATGTCAAACCCAGCTTTCTTAATAATACTTTTTAGTGATGAAGAGGCAGTACACAGATTGGGAGAATTCATGTCAGGGTTTAGATCGGAACTGATTGACTTAATTGAAAAATGAAGAGTTGTTCTTCCATCTGGTGGGTCTAAGTTAAAGACAGAGTTCCAGACTGCAGGACTGTCCTTCACAGGTGCTTCTAGCTATGGACCCACAGACCTGCACTGGGATCAAGGTGGTCAGTAGAATTTACGCATGGCAACACAGGGAATTTGTTTCCGTCCAGAGTGTTTGATTTTGGACCCTGTGCTCTTAGAGATTTTCATATAGTGATGAGCCAAACAGATTTGCTCTGCCTTCTTTATTTCTTCTGAAACTGTGTGCCAAGTAGAATGTCTCATCCTAAAACTATGGCTTGGTTTTGTCCTGTTGTCTGTTTAGCTTGTTTTTAAATAAAATCTTGGATATTAAAAAGAAAAAAAAGCGTGATCTACTCTATTGTGTATACTGGTTTGGTTTGCATTGATATTCAGAAAAGAAAAGAAGAGAGTAACAGAACTTGGAAAAACAGATGCCCAAAGCCATCTGTTCCTCTCCTCACGGTCATTAGACGACGTTCAGTCACAGTATGGCAATGGGAACTTGGAATGACTTTTGTTTTCTTTAGGACTACGCTGGTTGGCTTTAAAGTGAACACAAAATGAAATGAACATGTCTTGTAGGTGGCTACAAACTCGCACAGATTTGCGGCCTGGTTTACATAAACATACTGTTTACCAAAAAGATTAGCAATCGTTCTCTTTGGAGGAAACCTATTTTGAAGTGATACGGGGCTGCTTTCACAGGTTCCTGCTAAACAGCTTAGTGCCCTTTAGGGGCAGGATCACAGCTTTCCAGGATTGCCTTAACCCAGCAGACTAGGTATATCTGTGGTTGAATAAAGCCCAAAGGTACTTGAGAGAAGAGGTAGAGTGTAAAAAAAAATACATTATTAATATCTGGAAGACTTCATGAATAAGTAATAAGTTGCAGTGTTTTCCTTTTCTTTGGAAAATAGGCTGTCTATATTCATTTTAATTTTGCTTTTATTAAGCATTTTTTTTACTGTCTCTCTTTCTGTATACCCTGAGGTGCTGGTACCCTGTGTCATTTTGGTACAGAGAGAGGAGGGGAGCGGGGAGGTTTTGTGGAAGGGGCTTGTGCTGATATCACTACTGGATGGGGGGGGTCTGGAACAGCTTCAAGTGAGCATAAAACTGAGCTATTACACAGCTCCTTCAAGCAGCACCTTCCGAATAGCTTCACAGTGAAGACCCTGCTGTATGCCCAGAGAGACATGGGCACACGGAGGTAAAGTAGTTTTCCCGTCATCATCCCCTGATTGACATAAAACTGATGTTCATTGTGTCTTCTGAATCCCGCAGCAGTGCTTTTCTGGCAACACAGACCAAGGAAAGCTTTTAAAAGAGGCTTTAAACAAGACATAGCCTACAATATAAAATGAGAAGAAGAGTGGGGTTTCATCCCTGGCCACCACTACTCCGCTGACACTAAGAAGGGATCAAGCTGTTGACCTTTAGCAGGATTTGAGTTGGGCAATGCTAAGTCATTCTGTAAACCACAGTCAAAAAGCACATTTTGAGACTGACTCCTGTTTGCAGTGATTGTTTCTCTGCAGTCCTGGCCACATTTCAACCTGGGTAACTCTGTTCCACCTGCTTAAAATCCCTCCCTGCTGTGTCATTGGATGTGACATTCTCTGTTGCTTCAGGCCATTACCGTTCTGTGAAGTTGCTGTTTCACTTCCAAACTGTTTCATATCACCTGTTCACAAATTGATTTTTAGATGGTCTGTGCCTGTATTTTGTACATCAGTTTGTTACTCCTTCTGGCTTCCTTGTTGTTATTAAAAAAAAAAAAAAATCTAAAGATGAAAACACTAAATATGTGCATAGCTCCATAGCTTTATTAAAACCAGTGCAGTAGCTTCTCTTGGTGTTTATCTACATCACCATGAGGTTGTCTTCTCACAGTATTTCTTCCACTATGAGGTTTAATTTCATGCATGTTAGTCTGAATTTACCAAAAGACGTGTCTTTGGTGTTTACTGTTGCCTTGACTGAGCATTTTCCTGTTTACAGTAGATTTCGAGAAAGGCTCTCCACGAGAGGAAGGAGAACTGGTGCACAGCAAACGTAGGGCATCCGTGCAAGTCGTAGAGTGGGTCTTGGGGCCATCAGACCTATTCTCCACATACACACTGCAGGCAAGGTTGCTACTAGATCATCCTTCCTTCCAGAGGTGGCTTGATAAAGAATTTATCACACTGAGGTTATTTCATGACCTCCTGATGACCCGTTTTCCTTCAGAGTACCACACAAAGGCTGCTCCCCTTTCTGTTGATCTCTACTTTCTCTTGATAGCCTTATCATACTTCCATATGCAGTATTTCTTTTCTTTTTTACTCACTTTCTGTCATTTTTTTCAGTAATGTATCAGCCACAGGACAGCTTCGGTTGCTTTGACCCTATTATTATTGTCTCCTTCTGGACCTCAGAAATGAGAGAGACTTGAAATCTGCATCTTTAGAAACCGAGAATCGCTTAGGAGAACACGTGCACTGTTACAAACTGGAGCCAAGGGCTCAGCTCCCTGTGACTTGCAGGCAGAATCAAGTGCTTCTCTTTCCCCCTTGCCTACCAGTAGCTCTCTTCAAGCTGTACAATGAATTTGTGTTGCTTACTTTTCTTGTTAAATCTATCTGCTGCTAACACTATGTTTCTTTCATTAACAGATTAACAGGAAAGCTGTTATCGTCAGCTTGTCCCCAGTACAAAAACTGCCCTGTAAGACAACACATAGAAGCTGACAGCAAGCCACAACTCCAAGATATTCCATGGGGACTGTACCAGATCCTCTGAGATCTGCCAAACTTTCCCTGCTCACAGCTTCTGAGGAGAAAGATCACCTGGGAGACCTGCAGTCTGCTAAGCACCAGCCCGAACAACCAAGTCGAGAGACAGCCAGCAATGGTTTTTCATACACGGTGTCTGATTCTGCTGGAGTTTGCTCGTTTGACCTAAAATGCCCCGCAGCTGCTGATGTTCAGACGTGTGAGAAACATCACAGGGATGATGCTAGCTGGCATGAGGCATTTTCTCCTGGGTCCTTCAGCAAGGCTTCAGAGGGGCATCCTGCAGGCGTAGAGTCTGCTAGTAACTCGCAGCCAAAAGCCTGTGAGGAACTGGCAGTGCAAGCCCTGACTGCAGAAAGAGCCCGTTCAACAGGGCACGAGCCGGTTATGATGCCAGCCCCCCAGAACTCCTGTCAGTTTGTTCAAAGCAGCCGAGCCAAATCAAGCTCCCTGGCACAAACGGATGACTCTGCATTGAAACCTCAGGGGACTGATGATCAGCCAGCACTTGAGGTGTTAAACTATTCTTCCCCAGGCAACCCTATCAGGGATAATGAGTCCTTTAATACTTCTCAGGCGAACATTCTGCAAAGAGGGGGAGAAGAAAAGGGAGCAGAAAAACCTGGTCCTGCTGCGTGTCAGTCAGCCTCTCCAGAGAGGGGCACTGAAGATGACCTGAGGAGAGGTCCACAGGTTGGTTTGGAGGCAGAAAGCAGGGCTGCAAACACCGTGCACTCATGTCCCGCTGATCAAAGTGCAGTAGTTCAGAGCAGCAAGTCACCAGCTCAGTTCAGACATGAGAGTACGCAGCCAGTATGCAATGCAGACGTGGAGACAGTGAGTTCAGGCGTGATCCAGCTCTCCAAGTTCAGAGAAACAGGTACAATGACAGTTCAGGCTGAGAACAGATCTTTAACTCAGGAAGCAGGAAACAGGACCTGGAGGGATGCCGAGGTTCAGGCCGTGGCCAGCGTGGAGAGCAAATCAGCTTCCACGAGCCCCAGTATCCTTGCCGCCTTCTTAAAAGGGAATCCTCCGTTAGAGGAAAAGGAGGAACTGCACATCATTTATCAAGGCAGTGGGGGGCTGAGCCAATCTGAACTTATTGACAGTTTCTCCTCACACCAAAAGTCCCCATGTTCTTCTGGTATCATGCCAAAATCGACTGTTCTTACAGCTGTGACTGATACAGCCCAAACCCAGGCTGTCAAATTGCAAAAATACTCTGGAGACCAATCTGACATGGTCTCTCCAGCATCAGCAGATCACACAACACTTACTCGGCCGTGCCCTCTTGCAGCCATTACCTCCCAAGGGACATCTGCAGTTAGTGCCCAAATGATCTGTGCAGCCAGAGACAGCCGGGAGGCTACTCTGGTGCCCTTGGACACTCCAGTCCTGCCAAAGGCAGTGCCCGTCGACCAGCTCGCAGTTAATGCCGGTAATCAAACTCCATCACAGTCTGGTTGTGGTGGACCGAACACTATTTCAGCTGCAGTTGTCCCAGAAATCAAGAGCAATGTGCAACAACTTGTCCAGGATGCAGGAAGCAGCCAGTTACCTTTACCCTGTAATACAGACAGAGAAATCAAGCAGAAAGAGGTCCTGGACAGCTCTGAGCAAAGACTGGTACAGTGTAAGGGTGTGAATGAAGTGAAGGCAATTCCCATTCAATCTGGGGTCAAACCAAAGGAAGAAAACTTGATGGTGCTTGATCCTAAAGGAGTGATGAATGTTAGCAGTGAACCTGCTGCCATCAGCGTAAAGGCAAGTTCAGCGGATACAGGCGAAAAGGGGCATGGCAGAGACCAAGGAGCGATTAGCCAGGCTCTGAAGGCCAGCGGTCGGAGTCTGCAGGCAGGATTGTCGTCAGAGTTGAGCGCAAGTTCTGCTCACGTCACCCCTCTCTCGGGGGCCTCAGCAGCTCCCCAGCAGCAAGGCCTTCAGGCAGAGGAGTCCAGACACGAGCTTGATACAGCAGCTCTTCCTACTTCAGCTCAGGCTTTGCCAAATCTTGGGGAAAACAAAAAGCAGCCCACTCCAGCCATGGAGGCAAAAGTGCAGGTGAAGCAGTCCAAGCACGTCAGGGATGTTGTGTGGGATGAGCAAGGCATGACGTGGGAGGTTTATGGTGCTTCCCTCGATCCAGAATCCTTGGGAATTGCGATCCAAAACCACTTACAGAGACAAATACGTGAACATGAGAAACTGATCCAGGCTCAAAACACTCAGAATCGGAAATCCATTTCCTCTGATACATCTTCAAATAAAAAACTGAAAGGGAGGCAGCATAACGTATTCCAGTCCATGCTGCAGAATTTTAGGCGTCCTAATTGCTGTGTCCGACCTGCTCCTTCCTCTGTGTTAGACTGAAATGGTTTGCAGGGATGGATAGATGTCTGCAATGGTATAGAGACCCCCCACCCCGCCCTCAAGTCTTAAGTCCTGCTGTTCAGTTGTGTTATTGGAATTGTGTTGCAGCAACAGTGGAAATTATTACCCTTTTGTTTCCTGAGTAGTCACTCCATCATGCCTTTATTATTGCTACAGCTGGTGTATTTCCACATTATGCCCCTACTCGTCTACTGTCAGGTGAAAAGCTAGGCACTTAGCGAAAGCACAATTTTAAATTGCCACCTTGCTGCAGGGAGAGCAGGGCTTTCTGATAAGGCATGAAGCAGAGAGAAGATTATCAGAATTATTATCAGAAGTGATTTTTATGCATCGCAAGGTCTTATGCAAGGGGATAGGCTGGGGGAAGCTGGATAAGGTGAAACTAAGGTTAAGCAGTTGTCAACAGCTAATGCTCTCCAACAGTAACAGAAGACAGCTTTCCATACGTTTAAGTTACCCACACTGAGGCAAGTTTATGGCAAGGCTAAGGACATTGATCACTTACCAGCCTCGCTACTGTTGATACTGTGGGGTGCAGTTTTCATTGGCAGCCTGAGAGAGCTGGGTCTTCCCCTCCTATTGAAATATAGAACCAAGGAAGGAGTGAAGAACCAGGTTGAAGGAGTGTCCGCTTGGGAGAAGAAGCAAGTTAAGCAAATGGAATTTTGATGGCTAGAACCAGAGGCGAGAGAGAGGTAAATTCTGTGGGCTTTTTCCCCCCTGAGTCAGCCGCACTTAAGATGTGTGGAGTGTTTAAGTAGGCAATGTGGACAGATAAGGTAAAACATGAGAGAGCACTTAACTCGATTCACCCGTGTCTGTCAGCACAGTGCTGTCACTTGCGCTGCAGTACTCTAGCCAAGTCTTTCAAAAGCAGCGAGTAGTTCTGGGTTCTCCGCCTGAGTCTGGGTTCTCCAGTGCTCTGATTCTCCAACAACGCTGAACACCTCTCTTCTGTAAATCACTTTTTAAAAACATGGATCTTCTTCTTTCTTTAGAGATGCACACTGACATTTTAAAGTAGAAATAGGCTATGCTGTGCATCTGGGTCCGTTAGCCTACATGTCTAGTGTGTGCGCTGCTCTGATTTTTTCCAAGTCCTTGTCCAGATCTGATCTTTTTGGTAGTATTTTGATGCTTTTCTTGCTGCTTTTCATAAACTTAATACCATTTAATTAGCCTGTGCATATTTTATATTTTATCTAATGCTATTTATATTATAAAGCATTATATTGTTAACTTGAAACATTTATTTTACAGAAATACTGAAGTCTTGAGACAATCTTTACTGTATTTCTAATGTTAGGGAAGTTACAGAATCTGCTAATAAAAGGTAGCTTAGTGACTATTTCTCCAGAAGTGTGATATACAATAATGTCTCAAAAATGTGTTTGTCACATTTCTCAGATGAATAATATTTTTCCAAGCTGGGGAATGTGTTTCCCACTGTTTTTTTTTTTTTATTCTGACCATTAGAGTCCATGGGAGGTTGGGGAACTCCTGCAGTTTGTAGAAAATTCAGTTTTCAATCCTGCAGTGCATTGAGGATTTGGCTGTTGTAATCCTGCAGAGGACTAGAGTTAAATAGGAATTATTTTTATTCCATTAAAGATTTTTCATCAATCATGATTTATTTCTGTCTGTAGTACCACACATCTAATTTACTGTGCAGATTATCGTACAGGTTTACTCAGTGTAAATGATTTTTTTTTTTTTTCTGAGAAGCAGCCCTGAGGTGATGCCTTTTTTTTCAGGGGACCAACGTTTGTGAGTATATCAACTGTCAGGCCTTCAAAGCAGCTATTTGGGGACAATTTTTTCCCTAACAGGGAGGTAAAATACTGTAAAGTTTCTGTAAGGTACAATATTTTAACCTAGTCCAGTGAAAGCTGTTGCCTCTAGGCATGGTACTGAATTGACTCCTAATTTTCCTCTGGCATATCTGTTGGATTTTTATGGCACGTCCTTATTCTGCTTCTGTACATTATTTTAAGTCATCTCCCATCTGATGCTGAATTGCTGAATCTGAAATACCACATTAGGGAGTGTCTTCTCACATATGCCTACTGAGAGGAAAGTTTCATCTCTTTTGTTATTACTGTTTCCATCACCTTCCTAGCAGTTTCTGAGATGTAAATTTCATGTGAAGTTTTGTGGGGGATTAATGTTGACAGCATCGTTAGGTAAGGTTAGTTGACGAGTTTGGTGTCTCTTACCATGTTGTGTTTGTGTCAGCCCTGTAAAGGTTCCCAAAGTTTTCCATGGTGTTTGCTGTTTCCTGTCCAGGTCCAAGGCTTTGCACTGCTCCTTCTTGTGCCTTCACCTCCGATCTGTCCTCTCCCTCTTTAGCTGCTGCCCAGCCCATATCCCTGTGAAAGTGTCCCATGAACAAGCTCACACCCCCTCTCTGTCTCCTCCATATTATAGCATTGTGATCTAGCTTACTCTGAACTGTCCCTTTACAAATGTGTTCAGTCTGAATATATAAATGGATTGTCATATTTTTCCAGAGGAGAATAAATGGCTATCGCGTATTCACCGATTTCCATGAACTTTATCCTTTAGCTGAAGCTCTCCAAAATATTTCTAAAATCTGTGTATGAGTTGCTTTATTGAGACCAAACTTCGCTTGGCATTTATTAGCAGTGGATGAGCAGTGTGCTGCACCAACACTGGAACTAACTCTTCTTCATGAGGAATCAGAGATCTCTCCTGGTACCCTGCAGCTGCTTCTAGCTGTGAGTCTTCACCAGCCTTGTCCACCCTCACTCCCCCTGCCCCAAATAACCTTTCTTCCAGGGAAATGTCACCAATACATACAGCAAAATGCTGATGGGTAGATGTCATACCAAGTGGATGCATCTAAACAACTACGTGGGCATAGCTGGAGAAACTATAATGTTCAGCAGAGCATCGTGCTTTTGTGTTCTGTGAGAAAAATCGGTTGAAAGACAAACTGAAATATGTCAGTGACGCTGTCTCGTGGGCACAAAACTCCAGCAGACGTTTGCATCCAAGCAATAATGTGCCAAAAACAAATGCATAAAAATGAGTCAATAATCACCAGCACATCTCATGTAAAATATTTTAGGTTTTCACTTTGTCCTAGTAGAGCAGAATGTAGGCAATGTGATAATTTAACCCCAGGTTATGTTTTCTCCTGCATACAATGTCCAGATGACCGCATGAATCCTTGTAAGGATGATGCATGTTTCACCAGCAACAAAACAGAACTGTATTTTGGGTGATGATAAGCAAATAATACGCTTGTATAAATGGTCCTATACCAGCCAAGAAGGAGTATTGTTGGTGTTACATCAGTGTCAAAAACAAAAGCGTGCTTGGAGTGGCGGTAAGGCAGAGGGTAGGGGAAGATGATCTGTGTGCCTTCTCGCCGCTCTCTCACTGCCCTGTGATCAGAATCACACTGCATTGGTCGAGCGGTTAACAAGCACGGAAATTCATTTGGCGTAATAAAAAGATGCCTCAAAGCAGAAAGAACTGCTTTGTCATTCCCAAAAGTAAATCTGTATGGGGAAAAAAAATCTAGGTTGCAGCCTAGCCTTGTGAAGTAACTCTTAATTTCAGTTTGCTGCAAGATGGGAAAATTGCAGAAACAAGCTAAAGGTCAGGAAACTGTTGTCTGTTGGCATATCTTCTGGGAAGGCTGACACGGCCAGAATCATTGTAGGAGTTTTTAATAAATGCGGTGAATGAAAGTGGAAGGGTTGCTTCTAATTTCACTTCAGGAGCTTTTTACTAGTAAAGACAAAAGCAAATCTATTTCGATGTTGCCCATCATCGATGCAGGCAGTTTGCAGGATAGCCCCTGATTTTGTGTGAGGCTGCGAAGTGCAGAACTGTCTGGGTGTGCTTGTTTGGTGTCTGCCAGCTTTGCCTTGTCTTGGGCACCAGTGGTGAAATGAAGTCCTGTCTCACTTCTGCTGACTTGTTTTGGAAAAAGCATGAGGGGCAAAGCTGGAGGGGCACGGAGGAAGGGAATGTCTGTCTCACCCTTTCAGAGCAAGAAACCATGCCTTTGAGCATAGAAGAAGGAATTGCTGAGAAGACTAGGGAGGGACTAAAAGAAAAGCAAAACTGAGGTGATGTAGGTGCTGCACTAGGAATTCCCATTCTTATGGGAAGCCACTGTTTTGCTTGATTTTTGCAATGCTCACCATTTGTTCATTCTGAGCTCACAGAATTTTCATTTTCCTGCTGTTTTACAGCCTTTAGGAAAAAGGACATTTCCAAAGGTTGTATATTTTGTTAATGTGCAGATATATGCAAATATGAATCAGCAAAACTGACCGAATAAGCTAACTGGTAACACAAGTAAGTGAACAATATCTGTTTATTACCTTTACTATTACATAAGGGCTTGTAAAATGAACGTTTTGGAGAAGAATATTCAAGGGATTCAGAAAAAGTGAATATATGCTCTAAAGATAACAGGCGCATTTATCTTGAATTCCGTTACTGTTTCTGAGTTTTTAAGTTAGTGGAAATCCAAAAGAAGATAAGGATATGTTTTAAAGCCTGTTGAAATTGATGGAAAATTCCTTTTGGCTTCCACTGGTCTTCAGTGTGGAAATAACAGTAGAAACTGCCGTATCAGTGTTCCGTTGCTTCGCTTAGGAAATGCAAGGTTTGTCTGAAAGTACAAATATTATTAGCTTATTAGGTTGATTCTCCATTGATTTATTCCTGGCCTACCCCTTCACACCTTTTGAAAATCAATGCCAAAAATTACTAAGGCAAAGTAAGCGTTTCACACCTGCCTTCTGGAAATGACTGCCGTGAGTGAGATACAGCTGTTAATCAAGCTCCTTGATCTATAGTGATATTGCTGTTTCAGTGTTTCATTTCTGTTATTTAGAAAGCTAAGAGCTAAGGTCTGAAGGACTCCTCCTTTTTCTTTCTGTTTTTTTTAGCGTCTCAGCTTCTGCTCATTGACTTTTTTGGTGACTGTGATGCCTGTATCAGTTATCAATGCTTTCTAAGTCCATCCCCAGCCAGGTATGTAAGTAGATCCCTATTTAAATGCTGCACACTAGCAAATGTCTCTGGAGTCAGTGGATGCTGCAGTGGTCCGTGGGTCTGAAGATCAGATCCTGTATATTGAAGTGGCTGAAATGTTCTTTTAGGTGCCCACGTTTAATTACCACCTGAGCCTATATAGCTATGTAAAAGAAAGAATGAAGTATTACAACTCAGTTAATCCAAACTGAAATGAACATCATCCATTTTTTGAAAGTCTGATATGTATTCTTTTGCCTGCTTTTGTGTTTTTCTGAGCAGTTCTTCCTTCTCAAGTATTTGTAAAGTGGATTTTGAATCAAATCGTAGCAAGGAAGATTTTGCATTGGAAAATGTATCTTTCAGCATTCAGGCTGCTTTAAAGAAGAAACTGTTGTTTTTATTGAGTCCAGCGACACAGGAACTAATTTTGCCTCTAGCAGAAAGTTTGCTGTTGGTAAGTTTGAGCGTGTGTGCGCATGTGTTTAAAGGGAGTGCACAGGTGTGCAGGACTCATGCATTGCTCATGCTCTAGGTTTTTCCCTTTGCTGTTGCTGATTGAGCGCTAGAGGCTTCGTATCTCCCACAATTTTGGGGCAACAACAGGAAGTTCAGATTGCTCTGCAATATAGAAACAAGGATTTTCTCCTTATCTGGTCTCTAAAAAATTCCCAGAACCCTAGCCAAAAAAAAATAGCTGGCCAACCTCTGTGTCCAGACTGTCAACAGAAAGTGTGGCGGTTGAGTCTACAGAAATGCACGCTAGCTCCAAAGCTCTGTGGAAATCCACAGTTGTACATATGAACTGGTTTCTCCCCAAAGACTATGGGTTATAGCAAGCATCAGAGCTCATGAGGAATGATACACATGGACTGAGTCCATTTTGAAATATTAGACCTTAAGTTTTTGTCTGCTTAGAGTGACCATCCATTGAATAGAAATACATGACAAAACTCTGTCGTCAAAGTCTTCAGCAGCCATTTGCTTAAGAATATTAGGCAGTGTCTATTAGATACATCATAGAGGCTCGGCTACAACAGCTGACACTTGTATTAAAGGGTTCTCCTGATAACACTTCCCTCAACTCAGTTCATAGTGAACAGTTTTAAGTCAAACCCAAGTTTAGGCACTGCCATGGGGAATTCAGTACCTGGAAGAGAAAGGTCTGAGCAGCACACTAGAAGTGAGGTGGGTTTGTACTCAGAGTTATATAGAGAGATGGTAGGTGAACTTTGAATTCCTGGTCATTGCAAACCCCATGAAAATGATGGCCACAAATCAGGCAGCAGCAGCAGAAAACCAGTTTCGAGGCTTCTAATGACAACTAATATTATCATGGCTTTATTATTTTTATAGTTACACTGACTGAATGTGATGTACTGTACAAAGTAAAGCTAATTTTAGGCTTCCAGTGAACTGTAGCATTCATTTGAGACATATCACTAGAACTTTGCATGTGAAGAAGTCTTAACGATGGTACTAAAGCGATGTTACTGACCTGGTCAAGTCCCTTAGGAATTTAATGTTTTGCTGTTTTACATCTTCTGGTTTCCATGATGAGTACAATAAAAATGAACACTGTCTTAATTATTCTGGGTCTCTGTTTGTAGGCTGGCATGAGAAAAGAAAGGACTTCTTAAGTGTCACTGGCTTTTCTGGCTTTCTCTGTAAGACACAACAATAACAAAGGGTTTTCTGAATTCAGGCCAAAGGATTGGCACCTTGCAAAAGCTAGGTGCAGTCGAAAAACAGCATGCTCTGTCCCTGCTAGAGGAGAGATCTTTCTGCTTCCTTCTGTGTAAGTACCATTGATTTTTCACAGCTGTTTATTAACACAGGCTTTTCTGTGGTGCCCATTACTGTACTGTTTCAGATGAATTCACTGAGCCTTTCATCAACCCCTTGCCATCCAGCAACGTATTATTCATCCAACTGAGCTCCCCAGGAGCAACATCTTGCTCCAGGACAGAAAAGGCAGAATTTTAACTTTACAGTGTCACTGCTGTAGCAAATCATCATTCCCCCCACATCCCTGGAATCACTCACACACACACACACACACACACACAAATGGTATGGGTTGCCCAGAGTATTGGCATCAGAATAACTCCAATAAGCTTCTGCCCTTAAAGGAAGTAAAGTTTTATCTCATAGTACAAAAGACCAGAAGATAGCTGAGAATGGCAGTGAAGTGTACAAGGATAGTGTTTCCACAAGCCTGTATACTAACAGATGGCATGTATTTGAGTACTCTTACCTTGGCTTATTCTTTTCTGTGGCTGTTTGGGGAATATGGAAAGACATTTTTTGTGTCCCCATGTTGGAGTGGTGAGAGGGAGATGGGACAGATCCTGAGCTAATGTGTTTACACAGTGGCTTCTGTTATCAGGGAAACTCTGACTGTTTATACCAAGTTGGAGCCTTGTTCCCAAAAGTAATGATTAGTTGTTTCCTCAACTGTGTGTCTATAATTCTTAGGTCTTTTGGCTAGTTGCTGTGGTTCAGCCTTCTTCAGCTTATTGTCCTGTGGTTTGGACAATTATGTAATGTATTTTATTAATGAGCTTTGCTGGATTCCTTGCTGTACGGTTCAGGTTACCACATGCCAGTGGCTGCCAAAGATTAGTTGTTGAAGCTAAAGTGCCAGGAGCTTTTTTCCATGCAGTGGGTGGGATCGTTCAGTTGCCTAATGCAATTGGCAGTCTCTGTTTGTAGGCAGCAACACTACTGAGATCTCTCCCTTTCATTCCTAATTCACCTAGTCTTACTGCAGTACGGAAAAATCGTAAAGCTCCTTATTCCCCAGGGGACTAGCCCAGCAGAAAAGGCACCAGTGCTCAATTCTGTAAAATAAAACAAGCTAACATCCTATCAAACCAATCATAACCAGTGCATGGTTTCTATCTGACACAGATTTTATACCATATAACACAGCAGTTTCAGTGAGATGCTGCCTGCATATATAAAGAATGTTTTTGGCTCCTTGTTCATGCATGAACTGATTTGCTGACAACCTGAGCTTTCCAACCAGCAGCAGTTCATCCCGGAATAGTTGCTTAGCTTCTTTAACTAGATAACCAAATTGCCATGGATTCTGGGATTCAAATTGTATCAAAAGCTCTCTGCAGTATGTGGCAGTAGTGTGAATGGAAACCTTGCGACTTCCCCATTGAAGTTCAAATTTCTCCTTTGAGAAACATGAATTGCTAGTTTCACAAGCCAGTGTTTTAAAATGTAGGTACTTAAATCTGTAACTGAGTATTTAGATAAATATGGCCTAATTTATGAGAAGTGTAGAGCGCTCTTATTTCCTGTTGAGGTCTTGGAGACCTGTGGATGCTTGTTATCTCTGCAAAGAATACCACTGTTCATTAGATACCATACCCAACATGACAGTAGGTAATTGGCAGTAAACAGCTAGGAATAGTGATAGTCTTTACGTTTAGACCAACAGAAAGTTGTCTGTGCAAATTAAGAAATAGTAGTTTGTGCACCATTGCTACTAGTATATCAGCAGTGTTAGTAGGAGTGTGAGGATCCAGCTGTTCACACAGCAGAGCATAGTTATGGGAAAGTGTTGTCCTTTGTCAAAACGAAGTGGCATTAGCAAGTTGGGAGTGTGGGTGCTAGCCTGCAAAGGGATTTGCCTTTGCTGTTCCATCTTCATGATGAATTAACTTTAAAAAAAAAAAAATCATAGCCTGCTGTGGACGGCAGCACAAGGAAGGGATTTAGGTCATTCATGCTGTGGTTCTGTCTTAATTCCATAATTCTATTTATTTCTTTTCCTAATTAGAAACTTGCTCATGGCAGTGCTTTTTCTATAAATCCACTTATAGAACATTGGAAAAACATAAGCAAGCCAAGCAGTTAAGGACAAGTTTCTCATAGACTGGTGAAAAATACTCTGGGAATTAGAGCACAACCGCTCTGCGTGCACGTTTTCTCCTGTTAGGAATGGCTTGTGCATAGGCCTGGCTGCTGGATTCTGCAAAGTGAATTCACCTCTGCATCTGCACTGAGCTGGGAGCGGCTGGATTGAGTCAGCTGGGGTTCAGGAAGGAGGACAGAAGAGGTCCGCCAGGACTCAGCAGAGGTGAGGCCATTCGAGAAGAGATGTTTTTTCTGTGATTTGGGAGCAGCCCATGTTTCTTCCTTCTTGTTTGTGTCCCTTCCTTTTATAGGGAAAATTACTGGGCTATTAATTAACGAGACAATTTGCTTAGCTTTAGTAGCTCTTAAAGCCAAGGGAAAAGACTGTGGAGTTGCTGGATCCATGCATTGGGTTACTTGCCCTTCTGCAAGGCCCAGGTGTCCCTTCGGTTACGGTTGCTTTGAGTGCCTGCTCTGTAGGTGGAGGGCGGTAAACAGGTGCCTCTCTGACTTTTCCCTGACTCTGCACCTGCAGTACAGAAGGGACGGGAAACAGGGCTGGGACTTGCTCAGATCGTATCCACATGTCTCCCCCAATGGGTCATCATATTTTCATGAATACCAAGTATTTGCAGGAGAAATGCTGGCTAAGAAAGCTGAGAGCTCTGTGGTAGTTTTAAGCAAGACATTGTAATCAGAAGAGTCTGACAAGCTAACTGAAGCACTGAAATGCAATATATGCTTCCAGTTGTGGTAAATACCAAATATTCTTTGAAGTGGGTTTATCTCATTGCCTTTACTGATAGGGCTCTGCATTCTCTTATTCTTCTCTGCTGGGACGGTTTTCCTGGTATTCACCCTAACTTTCTTGCCACACAGCTTATATTATAGCAGGCTATACCTCCTTTATCCACCTTTCTTAAGCAGTGCTCTCATTCCTCCCAAGCTCATCTACCTTTCCAGCTTGATTCAGTTGCTGTCAAAGGACCGTTTGGAAGAGTGAAGTGGATGGCAGCTCACAATCACACAGCTCACTCTTTACTATTTGCTCTTCACTTTTTTGATGTTGCCATGAATGATACTGGCAACTGCGCTGAATTTCTTACTGTGAGTTCCTGTGCCTTGGGGCACATCCTGAGATCACCAAACTCAGTGCAAGTAATGCAGCCAGTACATGTCTTCTGTTCCCTGGGATGAATGTGGGTGAGTAACTTCTTCCCTGTTTGTCACTAATCCCTCGCATCTCCCTGTTCCCTTGTAAAGCCGAAGCCAGATTTTCTGGCCTGTTCCCCTGTGGCAGCACAGATGGAGCGGAAAGTAGTCATATTTCTCCACTGGATATTTCCCTAAGATGGCAGACTTCCCACAGGCCCAGAGCCGTCGTAACCATCTCGTAACGTCCACTCCTTTGCACGCAGAGAGAAAATCTGTCCAGTTTCTCTGGTGCACTTTCTTTCTGGTCTGGCTAAAATGCAGATTGGAAGAGCTATTGCAAGCTAATTGGTGGTACTGTGGAGACGGACTGCAAAATTGAGGGTAGTGCTTAAGCAATCCTATTCTCTGCTGAAACAAGCTGGAGCTTTTGTAGAACTGGCCCTGAAGAAAAAAGTTACAGCCTTTCCTATAGCTGCACGTGTGAAAGTTGTGTCCAGCTTCTGCACAGCCGAGGATGGTTCCTTCTAACTCCAGTGGAGTTAAAAAAAAGAAAAACCCAAAACGTATGTAAGCCTCCCTCTGCTGGAGCACACTTCTCTTTCTTTTACAGTCATGTCTAGTGGTACAATACACACATTTCTGTTTTTTGGTGGTATGTTCTGACTGTGCATTTTCCTGCTCTTGCCAGGCATCAAATACCAGCTCCAGAAGAGCTTTCAGACTAATTTAGCTTGTTCTGCAATTTTTGCTTGAATAAATTATATGGCTCTTTCAGTGCTGTAGCTTATTTCCTTAAAAGGCCATATACTTCATTTAAAACAACCCAATCGCATTTCCAGATGTTAGGAGAAAGAAGAGGTTTTGTGTCAGTGTTTCTGCCTGAGAATACTGAATGTGTAACAAACAAGTGCAGTCAGGAAGAAAACCACATGGCAGAGCTTTGTTTGGATATTAAAAAGGATGGTCTCAGATGTTGCTTTTCCTGGGATGCTCCACATCTTTCAAAGTGAACGAGTTATACTTTACAAAGGCATATCACTACTGTCAAAACACTTCATTTTCAATTTCAAAAATCAAGTGCTTGATTGATGTGTTTACCAAAGTGCTGTAACATGGATGGAGGTGAGTAATAGCTCATTAAAAAATATCTGGTTGGATGAAAAATGTCTGACCAGCTTCCCTGTAAAGTTGGTTTTTAACTATCAGTCTTGGCAGGCTTGTGCCTTGCAAGGGAAGACAGTGGGAAAGGAGGCTCCCACTTCTCCCTGCTGTTGCCAAAGGTAGGCACATTTGTGCTGTGCATTAGCTCGGTCTGTGCACCAAGCTCAGGAGTTAGCAGAGGCTCTGCAGGGCAGGAGGAAGGCAGGGCCATGAGTGATCTTTCCAGCCATACAGCACACAGTGCTATCCCCCTTGCCCATGCAACAGTTTATGGTTCAGTCTGGCATAAAAGGGACTTGCTGACACCTTTTGAGGCTAAGGCAACAAATATGGTGAGCTGACCCTCTGACGAATGAACAAGATTGCTGGTTGTAGTGTCAAGCACGATGGGGCCTTCC